TCCCAATTCATATTTGGTGCCGAGACTCAATTTTGCCAAAGCAAGCCGACACTTGGGGAACGGATAGGCCACCGCATCAGATAGCCGAGCAATCATCACGCCCGAGTCCATCCCGCGTGATGAAAGTTTATTAGGTCAGAGCCCGCATGTCATTCAACAAACCATCAACACACAAGAAGACGGTTACCGGTAATTTTCGTTGTACTTTTGCAGTAATGAATGTATCCTATAAATACTGCAAACTCTTGTTCGTACGTTATCTGTATCTGCCACTGCTCTCTGCTTATATATCTGATGATTAATTTACGACGAATCTCGAAACGTCAGTTGAATTAAATACTGTGCCAGCGATCGAGTCGTCTTCTTCGCGATGCCTGCTGCAATCTTCGCGGCGGTATACTAGGCCTGCCGACCTTAAGCGAGATCTTTCCTAGACTCAGGGTTGGAACCCCCGATTTCAACCGGCAAAGCAAGGAGACCCTGCTGTCGTGATAGAGTATTGAACTCAATGACCAAAGGTCCCGGCTTCAAATATCGGGGGTTCCAACCCTTGAGATTGGGTATGACTGGCTGATGACGGCTTACAAGCCAGAAATGGCCATTCCGGTCCCCCTTTGCTTTGTCAGATCCATTTCATCATATCAACGTAGTCACTATGTGACGGTCTTGCGGGTTCACGTTGTGAGCTCCTGGGCAAAGGGGAACTTAATTGTTCCTCTACTAGATCGGCGAAGCATATATATTCAGGAGGTCTGACTGGACGTTTATCTGACACACGGCGTACTAGGGCCATAGGGATAAGTTTATGTACAAAATTTTGCAAATATCACCGGTTCCGAGGACATTTAGCAGTTGCAATGCGTATTTCGTATCAACCCTTATCTGCGTTGTTTTAGACTATTCATTTCCTCAAACTTGAAAGCATTCATCTGAGTAAGTTCAGCGGGAAAATAATTCTCTTTCGCGTATTAGATGTGTAAACTGACAATATTTACAAACTAATTTACAATAGTATCACCGTATCTGCTATTGCCCTCTGACTATGTCTCTGATGA